GAGGAGGTAGACGAATAGCAGGAGGAGGAGGAAGAAGAGGAAGAAGAGGAGGACGACGAGGAGGAAGGGGACAAGGAGCAGCAGGAGGAGGATGATGATGAGGAGGAGGATGAAGCGAAGGAAGAACTGAAGCCTTTTTTCTGTGCATGGGTTTGTTTTGCCCGTGAGCTGAATCTATATGTTTGTGTGTGTGTGTGTTCTTTTCGCCTGTGGGCAACAGTCTCAGGATGTCTCGAGCGAGGGCATCACTAGTGGCGGCCCCGCCCTGTGGAGTTCCAGGAGGAGGAGGAGGAGGAGGAGGAGGAGGAGGAGGAGGAGGAGGAGGAGGAGGAGGAGGAAGAGGAGAAGGAGGAGGAACGCGTAGAGGATTGGGGGGCCATACCTTGACTCTTGCTGTCTAGCTATCATTTTCTCCTACCTAGGACACAGGGAACCGAAACGACCACACTCGCAGGCAGCAGTTTGCATGTGTATTTCGTTCTTTCCTTTGTTCGGTTCCTCCCTTGTCGGATTAATGGTTCTATTCGTTCGATTCTGTTCGGGTTTTTCGCCCTCCTACCAGTATCGCGAGACTAGCGTATACTTCGAGCTCTTGGGCCTACTTCTTTTTGCTTGTCTCTCTGCCCTGTCCGTTCAATCTTCAACGCTGGCCTCGCCTAAGTTCTTCGCCCTTTGCCTAAGTCGGCTTCACGCATTCTTGTTTCATCCGTGGTGCGCTCCAGATCAGTGGCTTAAGTTCGCCCAGCGTGCCATGGGTGCAGGGGGAACTGAAGCCGCGGATCCAGCGGAGCACTGGGGTGGGTCGTCCCTTGGCTTGTCTTCTGGCGCGTCCCGTGGCACGTCCTCTGGCGCGTCCCCTGGCACGTTCCCTGGCTTGCGCGTCCCTCGGCACGTCTGCGGCGCGTCCCCCGACACGTCTCGTGACGCATCCCATGGCATACTCCTTGGTTCGTCCCCCTGGTCTGTCCCCTGGCACTTCGCCCTTGGCACGCCCCCTGGCGCGTCCACTACCGTGTCCCCTGTCGCGTCCAGTGGCGCGTCCCGTGGCACGCCCGCCGGCTCGCCTCTGACGCGCTCCCGGGCTCGTCCTCTGGGGCTTTCCCTGCCCGTTCCGTGGCGCTTCTCTCCTGGAGCGTCCCCTGACACGTTCCGTGGCGCATCCCATGGCACGTTCCTTGGCCTTGCTTTTCATCGGGGGACGTCTTCATGCTCAAACTGTGCCCCTGTCCCCTGGCGCTTCTCCCTTGGAGCGCCCCCTGGGGCGTTCACTATCATGTCCCTGACCCGTTCAGTAGCGCGTCCCGCGGCACGTCCCCTGGCTCGTCTCTGACGCGTTCCCTGGCTCGTCCTCTGGCGCTTTCCCTGCCCGTTCCGTGGCGCGTCCCCTGGCGCGTCCCCTGACACAGTTCCGTGGCGTATCCCATGAAGGGCACGTCCCTTGGCACGTTCCATGGTCTGTCCCCTGCCGCTTCCCCCTTGGCACGCCCCTGGGCGCGCCCACTACCATGTCCCCTGACGCGTTCAGTGGCGCGTCCCGCAGCACGTCCCCTGGCTCGTCTCTGACGCGTTCTCTAGCGCGTCCTCTGGCGCTTCCCTTGCCCTGTGGTTTCAGGAGGGTGATCCGAAACGTGTTCGGCTTCTCCCAGCCTCGGTTAGTCTTTCCTCGAATTGATTCGGGTCTGTTTGGCCCTCGTCTGGATTCGTGCTGAGTCAGTTCGTTGCGTCTGGGTTCGCCCCGTTTCGGTCCGTCCACTGTCGGTGCGTGTCGCCTCTGTTCGGATTCGCCACCTCTTAGTTCGTGCCGTTTTGGAACGACACAGCACAGCATAGCCCCTGGCACTGTATATAACCATCGACATTTACAGCATTGCAGCTGCCCGTCGCCCAGTCAAGTGTTTTGAAAACGTTTCCACGCCTTCCATTCTTGTACTCCTTTCCGGGTCCGTCGGTCGATCGTGTTTACAATTTTCGGCCCCTGGGGCTCCTCCTTGGGCCCAGGGCCGTCAGACAACGACTCAGGATGACCAGCCGGCCCCGGAGAAAGTTCTCAGGACTTCTAGGGAACCCGCATGGAACAACAAATCAAGGCGACGCGTATCTGGGGAAGAGAGGGGGAGGAGGGGGGCTTCTTCTGGGTCCTCTCTCCTCCTCCTCCTCCTACTCCTCCTCCTCCTGCTCCTCCTCCTCCTCCTCCTCCTCCTCCTCCTCCTCCTCCTCGTCCTCCTTTCTCCTCCCTCCCTCCTTCCCCTGCCTCCTCCTTGCTCCTCCCCCTCCTTCCTCCTCCTCCTCCGCCTTCCCCCTCCCCCCTTCCCTCTACCCCTTCCCTTTCCCCCTCCGCCCCTCCCGGACGTCTTGGAGCGTTGGAAGCCCGAAAAGGCGAGAATGTGACATTCTTGCGAAACCGTGGAGGACATCAACGGATTTTCCCTCCCTGGATCTCTTGGGGTCCTCGTGAGGCGCTCTTGAGGCATTTTGGAGGCCTCCTGGACCGTCGGGGAACCATCCTGGACGTCTTGGAGTGCAGTCGGCATGTATCATAAGGATGCGCGACAAGGATGCAAGGGCCTCGGGCGCCCATCTCGAAGCTTCTCGAGCGGGGCGCGGCCAACGAGAGGGGCTCAGGATGGACCGCGGAGGCGAGGATGCAAGGACACCCCTGGGAAGGTTGCCCGTCCTCACCGTGCGGGCTGACTGTGCTCCTGGACCGTGCCGGACCTCCCTGGGCGCTCCTGGACTTTCCTGGGAGGCGCGCTCGGAGGCATGAAAGCCAAGCGCTCTCCTGAGCGCAGGCCCCGCGGAGCGCTCCTGGGGCGCTCCGCCACTGCTTGACCCCTCCTCGCCCTCCACAGCCGGTCTGCGCTGCTGCCTCCCGCCCCCCCCCCTCCGGCGCCTCCGCCGCGTGGACCGCGCGGGCTCCGGCCCCGGAAGAGGGGGAGGAGGATGAGGAGGAGGAGGGGGAGGAGGAGGAGGAGGAGGAGGCGGAGGGGACGAGGAGGAGGAGGAGGAGGCATGAAAGGCTGCGCCCAGGACGAGAGCCATCTCTGAGCCGAGCCGTCCCAGCTTTGGTCCGGGGAGCCGCGAGGAGGCACCCTTCAGGAGGGGAAAAGACACACACAGACACAAGTCATCGTCGATTTCCCAGAAAAGATGGGAACACATGGGAAGTGGGGGGGAAGACGAAAACCCAGAAAATATGGGAACATCTGGGGAATCCTTTTATTTGTGTGTATTTATTGGTGTGTCCCAGGGCCCCTTCAACCTTGGGAACCGCGGGGAACTTGAGAATTTTGGGTCCAGGCCTCGTGATGCTCATGCTCAGTCTTGAGGAAAGGATCGAAGGCTACAAGGGACCTGAGGGCGCTCCAACTCGTGCCTCGCGGCACGGTGGCGGATTCCGAACTCCTCGCCAGAGATTTTAGCACGCCTTTAGCCCGCCGCGTCGGTGAATTGAAAAGCCAATGAGTTTTCGTGTGTTTTTGGAGGCATTTCTCTGGAGTTGTTATGGACCTGGCGCGACCCCAATGAGGGAAAAGCTTCCCATTGCATGGGCGCCGTGTTTGACACTGCTTTGCGTTTCTTTCCAATGCCGTGGAACATGAAGAACACGATTGGAGAACCCGAAGAACCCACGCAAGGAACCAGACCGGGGAACACGAGAAACCCGAGCAAGAAGCAAGACCTGGCAGCCCTAGGAACCCAGGCAAGGAACAAGACCAGGGAACCAGAGGAACAAGACAAAGGATTCCGAGAAACCCAAGCAAGGAAACAAGACCGGGGACCCCCGAGGATTTTTTTGTCAGGAAGCGAGACCAGGGAACCCAAGGCCCTTGCATGTTAAGAAACGACCGGGGACCCCCCGAGGAATCCCTTCGAAAGGAAACACGACGGGGAAACCTCGAGGCACACCGGCGCGACGCGGTTGTCCCCCCTCCCCCGGTCTTCACAAGCCAGTGAAAACCCTGGAGGCACAACCCAGTGATTGGGGAAGGAAAAGCCAGTGATTGGGGAAGGAAAAGCCGTATGGTTTTGGAGTGATTTCGACGTGCGCGCCCGGGGGCGCGCGCGCGTGAGGCTCGCACGGTACGATTGGACAGAGCTGGCGGGCGCGCGGTGCCTGTTGAGCGTTTTCGGCACGAGCGTGGGTGTGTCCCGCGTGGTCTCGGTTTTCTAAGAATTTAGGCGGTTGCGCGCGCAGGATTCTGGCAACTTGTTTGTTGAAGTACCATTGGTGTTGATCGTTTTGGAGTAGCTACTGTTTGACTTTGTTTGGATGCCAGTGGTTTTGAATGATTTCTTCGACATGCGCGCGCGCACCTGTCCCGCATCGGACCTTTTGCAAAGGGGTCGTAGGCAAGCGCTTTCCACATTGGATCAGCGCGTGCGCACCACAGGGTACTCTTGTGCAGGAGATGCCGGGTGGTGTGGGAGGTCCGATGCCGCTTCCACCGAGAGGTGGTGGTGGCCACTGCACACGGGAAACGAGTCCCGAGCAGAGCGACACGCACGCACGACCACGACGACGCCGACGACATCGATGACGACGACGACGGAGACGAGGCGCGCAGGACGATCCGCCCCGAAGCACGGATCTGAGACAAAGCCCACCCTGCAGGTTCGGTTGAACAGCACACCGTTGAGCTTCCCCTGAGATGGTATGAACTCAAGTGCAGAGTGAAGGCGTCGTGCAGGACGGATCTGAGACTGCAATGGCCCCCAGGGGGCTGGCCGGAGCCCGGCCTCGGGAGGGGGGCGGAGTCTGTTCCTCTTCAGGAACGGGGGCGGCAAAGAGGGGGTTGATGACTAGGGGGGGGGGGTGATATCATGGCGGGGGCCATGACATCTCCCCAGATCTCATGGCGCCTCGTCTTGTTTCGTCACGTCCCTGGCCCCCCCACCCTTGGGCCGCGCACGTGCCGCCGGCCATGATCTGCAGCCCCCCCTCTCGGACACCCCCCTCGTGGCCGCCCCCGACTGTTTCAGGAGGGAGGAGAACAGGTGAGGTCAAGGTCAAGGTCAAGGTCGAGGTCGAGGTCAAGGTCAAGGTCAAGGTCAAGGTCAAGGTCAAAGTCGAGGTCGAGGTCGAGGTCAAGGTCAAGATCAAGGTCAAGGTCGAGGTCAAGGTCAAGGTCAAGGTCAAGGATCCCGCGGAGGCCCCTCGCTCCGCGAGCGGAGACGCAGGGGCACTGCGGCAGCGAAGAGCGCGCAGGCAAGACGAGGGGATGATCTTGACAGAACAGACGTGTGCACGCTGCAAAAAGCCAACCAGCGCATGGTTAGGGGGCCACATGCGAACCCTACCCCTACCCCCCACGATTTCTGAGGGGGAGGGTGGGGTTCACTTCGCTCGGGAGCTCCCGAACGAGATGGCACCGTGGCCGTTATTTTCCAGGCTTGCGCCCGCCAGGTTTGGGCCTCAGGTCGTTTTCACTAAACCACGTTTTACTAAAGGGGGGTCTGTCCATCCCCGATATGAGCGGCCCGCGCCCTTGGGTTTGGCTCCCTCGCGCCCCCGAAGGCTGCGCACCAGCGGTCACTCTTACCCGGAGGGTCACTCTTGCGCCTGGCCGAGCGATGGGTGGCGGACCGGAAGTGCCCGCCGATCGGGACGGTCGAAAGGACGGGGGCAACGGTAGGGGGGATATGCCCATCGAGGAGGAGGAGGAGGAGGAGGAGGAGGAGGAGGATAGGATAGGATAGGATAGGATAGGATAGGATAGGATAGGATAGGATAGGATAGGATAGGATAGGATAGGACCGATCGCGAAGCGAAGTGACATAACCCAACCACCACCCAAGCCGTCTGCTCGGGTTGAATTAGGCTTACGGTCCTTGCCCAAGCATTGCCAGGGAAGGACCAACACAGAAACTCAAACTTCAATACTTGGGCCATAAACCCTGGTGAATTTTCTCGATATAACTTCTCCTGGTCGGCGTGATGTTACTACGCCTCTCTGGGGGAAGCTCGGGAGAGGCTAGACATTCGGAAATTAAACCACGCATCTGCTGGCTTCCATAAAATCCACACGAGCTACATACCCAAATATTCAACTTGTGACTATACAGGAGGTGATGACTGGGATGGGTCCAACGACCTCCAATGTGCACACACTGACCCTTCGGCGCCCGAGAGAAATTCTGATCTTGATGAATTAGCTCGAAACACTGGCTGTGCCTCCACTCGGTCAAGGAGGCCTGAGACGCGCTCCCACGACATCTCAGGCAACTTTTTCCATCCTCGGACAACGAGTGGGAGGAAGAGAAAAGAGCAAGAGCGGAAGCAGAGGGGGGGGGGGAACGGGACTTTTTCCCCACAACACGAGCACCACAACGTTTTTCCTCAGCGATCGCCTCCAGGGTGGCACGCAAAAGACGACGGCGCACCAACCTGGCCATCTGCTCCGAGCGGGCAACCTTCTGCCGAAAAGAGGCAGGCACACGGGCCTCGGATGCGGCCATGCCCGCCACCTCGTCTGCAGCTTCGTTCCCGATAGCCATCCAAGCAAGGCTCGAGTCAGCAAGCTCGTGAGCAGACTGGTGTGACGAGACCTGCAGCACGGTGACTTGGTCGAAATTCCGACTGGTGCGCAACTTGCCAAGCCTGGACCACAGATCTGCGTTGTCGCCCTGAGGGTGATCGAAACGCTGCTGGTGCCAGCCAATCATCGCCGATTCATTGTCGGTAATGTAGATCATATGGCCAGCACTAAATTCAACTGCAACGATTAGCCCCAGCAGCTCTCCCCTCGGGACCGTCTGACGGCGGCCTGGAAGAGGGCCACGGATGGAGGCATCAATAACGAAAGGGCTGAAAGGTGACACGGCAACAACTCCGACGCCTACCCTGCGCGGGCCCTCGTCCCTCGACCCTGGACCTCCCCGCTGGCGTCTCCGAAGAGAAGTAGAGGCTTGGTCGCTGAGCCTGTGCCCAGCGATCCTGACCGCAAGGGGCCCTCAACCCCACTGGCAAGCCAAGAGGGCTCACTCGCTGGGGCTGGGGTGGATGTCCATTCCGAGGGCAGGAGGCCCCTCAGCCAAAGGCATGGCTCCGACCCGTGCTGGCTATGGGCCTGCGCCGCTAGGCACTCTGACGCTTCGGAGGCAGGCGAGCCCACGTTCCGTGGGCAGGCCCAGCACCTATGAAACTGCGTCTCAGGGGCAACCTTGCATCTGGGACACCACGTGCTCTCGAGGCTCCCGACTTGGTCGGAGACCCTCTGCAGCGGCCAGGAGCCGCCTGCCGCGATGCAGGGCATGAGCTCCGCTGGCTGATGCCCCTTTGTGGGCCCGCTCTAGAGATTGAATGTAGCTACAATAGGATCTGTTGTCGACCCCGTGCTCCAGCCCACCGCCGCAGAGGTGAGCCGCAGCGGCTTCCCACTGCCTGCGCTTGACGGTGGACCCGAGCTCGTGTGTGGGGTCGCTGAAATCCGTGTCTGGCCCGAGGTCGCCGTCGAAAATGAAAGCCTCGCGGCCCTCAGCTCCGCAAGGCCTGGTCCCCCACTCCAGTGGGCCGCGCACGTTCCTGCTGCGCAGCGACGGGGCCATGCCCCTGAATTGCCTGGTCACTACAGGCCAGGCAAGCTGAATGCCAGCACGAACACGCTTCTCACTGAACCAGGTCTGCAACCACATCTTCAGACAGTCGCACGGGAGATGGTAGCCTGGGTCCTGGTCGACGTACCTTGAGTCCAACACCGTCGTTAGACACCGCCCACGTCGGGCAGAACTCGCGACATGTCCCAGACGCCTCCTCATGTTCAGCATGGCCGAGCCATGCACTCCGTACACTTGATGGCCGTAATGGCCTGCAGGTTGAGCTCCAGCAGCCTCCAGCTTCATCGTCGGCCTGTAGCGCCGACTCGCCCTGGCAAAGCGAGCGATGCGATCGTGCATGGCGGTCGCCTTGCTCACTCGTTTCCTTTGGGTAGCCCGCGCGTGCCGCCCAGCTCCTGAGTCGACCCCCAGGAAGCTGGTCTGCACGGCAGCTGTGACCTGCACGCCGTGCCGACGGAGACGGGCGACGATGTGCTTCGCGTCCTGGCGCTTGGAGCAGATAACGACGCTCTTGCTCGCCACCTGAAGCCCCTCGCTGCCGAGAAGGTCACTGGTCTGCCTGAGAACCTGCACTAACACTGTCCTGATGTGCCGTCGCGATCCTACAACATACTGAGACAGGTCGTCGATCCACAGCCGCATGTCGACGCCTGGGTGGTCCGACGTCAGCTTGCCGAGGATGAAGTATGTCATGCAGCGCGCGAACCTCGTGCCGCTGCGCAACCCTTGGATCACGCTGCGGCTCGGCTGGAAAGCTTTTGAGAAGCACTCGCCCTGCGCCAGCGTCCGCGGCGCCAGGCAGAGCTGCAGCTCCAGGAAGAGGATCGTGGGCGGGAAACCCAGCGCTATCGCCGTCTTGGCTAGACGGAGCCAGCAGATACTGTCGTAAAAGGATTGGATGTCGAGGAACCCGTGCCCGCACATGACGTCGAGACGGGAGTGCACCTCTTCGCCCAAGATGCGGAGGAAGGCTTCTCGTAGCGCCGAGTTGCCCTCCACCGCGGCGGAGGAGGAGGAGGAGGAGGAGGAGGAGGAGGAGGAGCAGGGGGAGGAGGAGGAATAGGAAAGGGGGGGGGGGCGCATCGACCCCCAATCGCCCATTGATCGCCGAGAGGGGCCCGACGGCCCCAACCCGCCGAGGCAGGTGCTGGCTCACCATCGGGGGCCTGTCGCCGGTCTCTCGGCGATGCCTTGCCGATTCTCCAGGTCGATGCATCCGCCCCTTCTGCCAGTCCTCTCCTATCGTCAGGAGGAGAAAAAACACACAGACACAATTAAACGTCGAGTCCCAGGAAGATATGGGAAAACATGGGAAGTGGGGGGGAAGGCGAAAACCCCAAAAATATTGGAAAATATGGGGATTGCTTTATTTGTGTGTATTTATTTGTGTGTCGCAGGGCCCCTTCAGCATTGGGGGGGGGGCGCATCGACCCCCAATCGCCCATTGATCGCCGATAGGGGCCCGACGGCCCCAACCCGCCGAGGCAAGGTGCGGGTTCGCCATCGGGGGCCTATCGCCGATGTATCGGCGATGCATCGCCGATTCCAGGTCGATGCATCCCCCCCTTATGCCAGTCCCCTCCTGTCGTTGCTCCTCAAGAGGGGCACGGAAAGAGGGGGCACAACGGCCGACAGCAGTTCCTGTGCGTTCTGGGCCGGGCTCGCTGCCCGCGCCGCTGCGGACGCGGGCCGTGGAGGCCCAGACGCCGCCTGCCCAGCAGCGGCCGCTGCTGGCTTTGGGCGGCCTTGGCCGTGGGGCGTCCCTCCCGCGCTTTCCGCACCCCCTTCCGGGCGCCCGCGGCCGAGACGCTGCGCACCCGCGGCGAGCTGCGCGGGGCGGGTGCGGGGCGGGCGCGGGCGCCCCTGGGCCGGAGGTCGGGCGCCGCCGGCCGGCGCGCGTGCGGGGGGCGTGGCGCGCGGGCACGGGCGCCCATGGTCCGAACACGGAGAAATTCGGAGGGCACCAGCTATACACCAACACCGATCCTGGCCCAGGATCACCCTGGGCCCAGGATCGGTGTATATGCCTTCTTGCGCAAGGCAGGAGGGCGTATACACCGTCCTGGGCCCAGGGTGATCCTGGGCCAGGATCGGTGTTGGTGTATGGTTGGTGCCTTCCTAGGAATGCGCCAGCCAGGGGCCCAGCAGTGGAAGCGAAGAGCTGCTGGGGCGAGCTCCTGGCCTCGGGGCAGCCAGAAGTCTTGGGCCTGTCGCGACCCCGTGGCATGTCCGACGACGTGACTCCTTCAATGCGCGGCCCGGGAGCTCCTGACCCCTTCCCCTCCTCGTCCTCCTCGTCCTCCTCGTCCTCCTCGTCCTCCTCGTCCTCCCCCTCCTCGTCCTCCCTCTCCTCCTCCTCGTCCTCCTGCTCCTCCTCCTCCTCTTCCAACCTCCTCCTCCTCCTCCTCCTCTTTCTCCCTCCTCCTCCTCCTCCTCCTCCTCCTCTCTCCTCCTCCTCCTCCTCTCTCCTCCCTCCTCCTCCTCTCCTCCTCCTCCTCCTCCTCCCTCCTCCTCCTCCTCCTCCTCCTCCTCCCCTCCCCCCTCCTCCCCCTCCCCCGTCCCAGGGCCGCTCTTGATAGCCCCTGGGCCCGACGGCGTGCCCCAGAGGCTGAAGCGAATGAGAAAGCGGAGTCCAGATGAAGCGCCCACATTCAATCACCAAGCGCGTTCCACTCCTCCCACAGTGCCTACTCGCAAACGTCCGAGAATCATAAGTGTCATGGCGCCCACATCGCAGAGCGGATTTCGTCCCGAAAACGATAGGATGGGCACGGAGTGTCCTGGAGAATTTTGCTCCAGATTTCGAGGTGGGTTTCGTGAGGATTTTGTTGGGCCAGGAATGAAGACCAAACAAAAATCCACGCGAAATTCACTTCGTTTTTCACTCGCCGTTTCGGGGTCTTGCAGTGGCAGAAATCCACGCAAACATCCGCTGCAGCACGTCTGCAAGGTCGGTGCAGTGATACTTGCAAGCGTCCGAAATACAGAGGTTCGCTTCGAGACGAGACTGATCGCAGATCCCCCGCGGCGGATCCAGGCCGCTTGCGAGCAGTTGCTCTTCGGGTGGCGGAACACGCTCGTCTACTCAACAAAAACATCTCGTCGGAGCTCCGGGGGATCCTCAGGAGGAGGAGGAGGAGGAGGAGGAGGAGGAGGAGGAGGAGGAGGAGGAGGAGGAGGAGGAGCAGGAGGAGGAGGAGGAGGAGGAGGAGGAGGAGGAGGAGGAGGAGGAGGATCTGGGGGATCCGCGGGCTTGCCGCCAGCCCTGCTCGCAGCACAGCCCCGAGCGGCGCCCGCGAGTCCGGGGGGCTCGAGGAGGCAGCCGCCACCGCTCGGGCTGCCAGAGCCGCCCGTGGGTCCCCCCAGAGGTTAAGTCGGGCATGTCCCCCTACAGGAGGAAGATTCAGAAATGGTTTTTGAAAAATAGTCAGGGAACGCTTTTTCCACTGCTTCGGAGTGTATTTGAACATTTTTTGGGCTCTCACAGGAGGAATATTCAGAAAGGGTTAAAAATTAGTCAGGGAGCGCTTTTTCAACTACTCTGGAGTGTCTTTGAATCTTTTGTTGGGGGCTTGCACACTCCGCCTGTATAGGAGGACGTGCCCGACCTATAACCCTGAGGCCGATCCTGAGCCGCCAGCGGGCATGACCTGCGCACGGCGCTCGGCATCGCGCTGCTCTGAACGCCGGCTTTTGGGGGGGGGCGCCACGGGCGGCGCTCCCTCAGCCCTGGCGGCGGTTGTGCCTGTCGCTTCCGGCTCCTGCGCGAGAGAGCCCCACCCCGGGGGGCCCCGAGGAGGGCTGCCTCGCCACGGCCGAGAGCGTGCGGGCCTTCGCCGCAGTGGACCGGGGCCACTTCCTCCCGGAGGCCCTCCCCCGGCCGTCGCCGGAAGGGGCGGGAGGGAGCAGGCAGGAGGACAGGTCTAGGGGATCGAAAAAGTGACA